TTGCCTTCCCTTCGAAGTGTCCCAAATTGACCTCTTGTGCTCTGGGGCTGAAATATGTAAGGCGAAGACAGAGCTTGGGTATAAAGAAGGAAAATAGTTTATTTCTTTGTCAGGCGAAGGAGGCTGCAGCAGACTAATGCCTTAAGACTGCCAGCCTGGGGCTGCCTGGGTGGCTCAGTGGGTTAAGCCTCTGCCTTCGGCTCGTCATGATCTCAAGGTCCTTGGATCGAGTCCCACATCGAGCTCTCTGCTAGGCGGGGAGCCTGCTTCCTCCTCTATCACTACTTGTGATCTTTCTTTGTCAAATAAATAAAATCTTAAAAAAAAAAAAAAAAAAAAAAAGACTGCCAGCCTGCTCAGGCCAAAAGGCTGAGGGGTTTCATAGGAAACTGCAGGATCTGGGCAGTTTTGACAGGAATCTGGTAGGGGCTGGCCTCGCGTTGCATATGTTTTCGAGGTGGTCTCAGGACTAGCGCTGCCTTGGGCCTTCCAAGTTTCGATACTGAGTATCAACATGGATACCAGGTTTTTGGAACAAAGGATTCTACAGAAAAACAAGTGAAAGGGAGGGCAGGCCTCAAGAATAAGGGAGAAAATTTTGTTCAGATTAAAGTCAAGATTTGCTGAAGCATTAGTATGTCCATCTTATTTTCCATCCATTCCTTATTTTTATTTTTTTTATCATTTTTTAAAATTATTTGTTTCAGGGGTACAGGTCTGTGATTTGATTCATCAGTCTTATATAATACCCAGTGCACATTACAACACATACTCTCCCTGATGTCCCTGATGTCCATGACTAATCCCTGCCATCCCTTCACCCCGCACTCCCCAGCCTCCACCCCCCCCCCCCCCCCCCCCCCCCCCCCCCCCCTCCCCCCCCCACACCCCCAACCCAGCCAGCAACCCTCAGTTTGTTTCCTGTGGTTAAAATTCTCTTATGGATTGTCTTCCTCTCTGGTTTCATCTTGCTTCATTTTATCCTCTCTTCCCTTATGATTCTCGGCCTTCTTAAATTCCACATATCAGTGAGATCATAAGATAATTGTTTTACTCTGACTAATTTTGCTTAGCATAATACCCTCTGGTTCCATCCACATCAAATGCAACTGATTTCTGTGCATTGATTTTATATCTTGATACTTTACTGAATTCCTATATGAGTTCTAGCAATTTTGGGGTGGAGTCTTTTGGGTTTTCCACTTAGAGTATCATGTCATCTGCAAAGAGTGAGAGTTTGACTTCTTTGCTGATTCTGATGCCTTTTATTTCTTTTTGTTGTCTGACTGATGAGGCTAGGACTTCTAGTACTATATTGAACAGCAGTGGTGATAGTGGACATCCCTGCCATGTTGCTGTCTGTAGAGGAAAAGCTCTTAGTTTTTCCCCATTGAGAATGATACTGGCTGTGGGTTTATCATAAATGGCTCTTATGAAATTGAGGTATGTACTCTCTACCCCTACACTGTGAAGAGTTGGTTTTTTGGTGTGTGTGTGTGTTTTTTTTTTAAGGTTTTTGTATATTTGTATATGTGCTGCCGAAGCAAGCACAAGGTTTTTGTATATTTGTAAGAGACAGGGAGAGCACAGAGAGCGGCAGGCAGAGGAAGAAGCAGACTCCCCACTGAACAGGGAGCCTGATGCAAGACTCTTGATCCCAGAACCTTGGGATCATGACCTGAGCTGAAGGCAGATGCTTAACGGACTGAGCTACCCAGGCATCCCACTGTGAAGAGTTTTAATCAAGAAAGAATGTTATACTTTATCAAATGCTTTTTCTGCATCTACTGAGAGGATCATATGGTTCTTGTCTGTCCTTTTATTTATATAGTGTATCCCATTGATTGATTTGCAGATGTTGGACCAACCTTGCAGCCCAGGAATAAATCCCAGTTGGTCGTGGTGGATAATCCTTTTAAAACATCCGTTCATTTCCATAGCAGTTTCATAGGGCTTAGAAAACAAACTACAGGGTGCCTCAATCCTGGGGTTTAGCAGTCATGTGCATCATTTGTGATGTACTCCTGTATTATTAAATTTCAATCTAGAACAATCAAAATTACAAAGGAAGTGAAAAAATATTTTAACATTTTATGCATTCTGAAATAAGTTTTTTCACTTTGATACTAAGTTCTTGTCCTGACACCTGATCCTACTGTTTTGAATTCTATGATAAAAGTAGGTTTTGGGATGCCTGGCTGGCTCAGTAGGTGGAGCATGTGACTCTTTTTTTTTTTTTTCCAAAGATTTATTTACTTATTTGACAGAGAGAGAGATCACAAGTAGGCAGAAGTAGGCAGAGAGGCAGGCAGAGAGGGAGAAGCAGGCTCTCCGCTGGGCAGAGAGCCCGATGTGGGGCTCGATCCCAGGAGTGACTCTTGATCTCATATGAGCATGAGCCCCACATTGGGTGTAAAGAGTACTTAAAATTTTTTTTAATTTTAAAAAAAGTAGGTTTTGGCTAGAAAAACCACAGGGATTAAATAGACCAATCCCTAGTACTTCAGAACAAAGCCAAGAGACAGAAAATAGAATGATGGTTGCCAAGGGCCAGGAGAGTTATTGTTTAATGGGTACAGAGTTTATTTTCAGATGGATGGTAGTGATGGTTGCACAATATTATGAATGTATATACTACACTGAACTGTCCACTTAAAAGTGGTTAAGAGGGTAAATTTTATGTTGTATGTATTTTATCACAATAAGAAATTTTTTTGAAAAACAACAAAAAGCAGGCCTGAGTTTTTTGAGGAAATGTTACTTAGATGTAAAGGAAGAGAAAAAAAAATCACTGCACGAATAAGTCTTTAAGGTCTTTTGGGTTTGCTGAGGCCATGGAAGTTGGCCAGATGGTTTCTAGATGGAGCCAAAGCAAAGAGGTATGGGCCCTTGGTAGAACATTTTGGGAGCTTTGTTTTGTTTTAATGTGAATTCAGAAACCTTTGGTTGTCATCTACTTGTCCATGATATCAACACCTGAGCCTAAAATTTTAGGCTCCCTAATATGGTTCCAACTTTCTTTTCCCTGTGGAATATCCCATTATTCTTTTTTTTTTTCTTAAGATTTATTTATTTATTTGAGAGATCGAGAGTGCGTGAATGCAGTGGGGATGGGCACGAGAGAGGAGAGAAACTCAAGCTGACTCTGTGCTGAGCGTGGAGCCCAATTTGAGCCTGGATCCCACGATCCCAAGATCATAACCTGAGCTAAAACCAAGAAATGGACACCCAACTGACTGAGCCACCCAGTTGCCCTTCTCCCATTATTTTTTAAAACATTCAACTCTGATCTAGACACTGGCATCCAGATCTTGTGCTTTCAGGCCATAGTTTGAAATCTTAATTCATCCTAATGTCTTACTTTGTTGTTTTGCCTACTTGAAGGATCAATTCAGTATGCTTCCTCCTGGAAATATTTCTCAATCACACAGTGATAACCCTCCTCTGAACTCACCCTGTCATGTATTGCTTAGTGATAGTGGGTTTTTTGTAGTCTTATTATGTAACTCTTGCATTTTGATTTCTATGTTCAGATATTTATGTTTATGTAATGCGCTTCCTTAGATTTCCTTGGCCTTGTTCACTTTCTGGACCCACAGTCCCTTGCTCTGCCTGAGGCTGACCTATTGCATTTCTAGAATCTCTTCCTTCACTTCAGAATTCCAGGAAAGCACTGCACTAAGCAAGGCAGTTACTGGCTTCTCACTGGCTGCTGGGAGGGCTTGAATGATGCATCCTGGAAGTATGGGGGGGAGAAAGGGGTCACTCTCTAAGGAACAAATGTCAGCCAACTGAAAACAGTAGACTAAGTGAGCATGACAGAAAAATGCCCTTTCCATCTTCCTTACAAGGCATGGTTTCTCCAAACAGTGTGTCTGGAGAGGTCAAGACTGCATTTTTTTTTTTTCAAGATGTTATTTTTAAGTAATCTCTGCACCCAAAATGGGGCTCAAACTTACAACCTTGAGATGGAGAGTCAAATGCTCTACTGACTGAGCCAACCAGATACTCCAAGACTGAGTGCATTCATCTACCAAGCAAGCTGCTGTGTCTCATGGCTCATTTTCAAAGAGGGGCCAGCAGGGTAACACATCATATTGTATTACTTCGAATCCTCTGCCTAACTCCTTCCAGAGTGTCACCTCATTTTGGTTAATCTGAATCTATACGTCTCAAATAAAGCGTAAGCATTTAACCTTTACCTGGAAGATGGGATCTGCATTTTCAACTGTTTCTGCTATTCACATCACCTGGTACATGGCATTTGGTGTTCAATAAATTTTTTAAAAATTTTTTAGATTTTATTTTTAAGTAATTTCTGTATCCAATGTGGGGCTTGAACCTACAACCCTGAGGATCAAGAATCATATGCTCTTATCAACCAAGCCAGCCAGGTGCCCCGGTAAATATTTTAATATATAGTCAATGTGCAAGAGTTCCATTTCCTGTGTAAAATAACTATGGTTGTGTACCAGAGAAAAAAATGCACAACATACAATACATATTAGGTGTTTTTATTGTTGTTTTTTTTGTCTTTTAGTATGCAGTACATTCACATGGCTCAAAATTCAAAAATTTACAAAATGGAGTAACAGTGAAAATAATTCCTCCTACTTTTGACCCCTAGCCTCTTCGTTTTTTCTCCTGACACAACCAATGTTCTTACTTTCTAATATATCTCTCCAGAAAAAGTTTATGAATTTTGTGGATATATTAGCGTGTGTGTGTGTGTGTGTGTGTGTGTATTTGTTTTTGCCCTTTTTTCCTACTTCACAATATATAGGAAATATTTGAAAACAATACATCTTGGTGATAACTCCATATCATTTTACAGTTACACAAAGAACTTCATTCTCTAATATTGCTACACAAAAAGTATCCATTGTATCAATTTATCATATTTAAGGCTTCCCTCACTTTTGCTATAAAAATAAGCCTGTAATAAATTGTACGTGCATCTTTTCCCCCCATTTGCAAGATAAATTCCTAGAAGTAGAGTCTCTTGGTCATCAAAATTAGTTTCTGACTGATGGTAGCAACTCTTTTAGCAATGACTTTTGCTCTTCAGGAGCCCTCACTGCTTTCCCCTTCTCAATGATCTGAACAGCCTTCAGTAAACCATCCTGCAGAGCCTGATTCTTTACCATGTTAGTGATTAGGAAGGTGACATCCCTGATATACATCTGCCTCACTTTAGCACCATAGTATTCTGCCCTGTGGCCATGGGCAATAAAGAAGGTACAAAGGGCTGTGATATCTCCTTCTTGCAGCCCACACTCCTCCAGGACAGACTCCCACACAACTCCAACGCGCTGGTTCTTGACTTTTCGTCTCAGGATAGAGGTTAAGGTGGGAAGACCTCGCACCAGGTCTGGCAGCTTGTCAAGCACACGAGTGTGCAAGCAGATGAGAACTTCAGTGACGTAGCTGTATAAAATATTCAGTTCCATTGAAGTGAATCTACAAAAAATGTGGAGAGCTTCTTAATCAGTAGAACTCTTTCTGCACAAACAAACAAACAAACAAAAGAATTCTACTTGGATACAAACCCATGAGAAGAACCATTTTAGAAAGTATTTTAGAAAATATTTTAGAACTAGGACCTGCACTATACAGGATAGCTTAGTTCTCAGGCCATTCATACTACACATTTCTCAAAAGCAGAGGACTTACATCACCCATCTCTGTGTTAAGCAAGACATTGGCAAACAAGAGACACTGTGACAAGATGTATATGACAGTGCTGGCATATGAACGGCTGCTCAAGTTAAACTTTTTTGAATGAATTGACCTCAGAAAATAGCATTTCTTCACAATCCATTGAAATTCAAGTTTAAAATGACTGCTGCAAGCTCTCACAAAGCCACGAAATTCCACCAATTTCTCACTGCATACTCACTTGGGGGCCAGAACTGCTCTCCACAGCTCATCCTGGGCTGCCTGGCTTACCAAAGCCTTGCTGTGCTGTTCAAATCTCCGGGTCAGACTATCCTTGGTGAAATCCATTTCTTTAAACTGTGCTTCTAAACCTTGGAGTTTGTGGTCTACTCTATAGGATAAAAGAATCAAGGGAGACTTTAGGACAAGGGACAAAACTAAGGTTTTGCCTTAAAGCTCTAATATATTGTTTATAATCACTATTAATTGGGGTAGCTATTTAAATTTAAGATGATGGATAGATATTTGTATTTGCCATTCTCTTTAGCCATCATCCTAATTCCTATGTTCCTTATATTGCCAAACTTTTAATGGTCTAATTACTTGAATTATCTGCCACCTCTTGATTTTGTATTGTACTTTATACTTTCAGAAGTATTTTAGGGGTGCCTGTCTGGCTAAGTCAATGGAGCCTGTAACTCTCAATCTCAGGGTCTTGAGTTCAAGACCCACACTGGGCATAGAGCCTACTTTAAAGAAAGAAGTACTTTAAATACAAGCATTACTTTGATTCTCGCAACAGCCATAAGAAGTGAAGCAGTCATTTTTATCATTCTACTGATAAAGAAACTGAAGGGTGCCTGGTGGGCTCAGTCAGAAGAGCGTGGGACTTTTGATCCCCATGTCATGAGTTCAAGCCCTACATGGGCATAGAGATTACTAAAAAAAATAAATAAACTTAACAGATAAAGAAATTGAGTCTCCAAGAGATTGAGACCCAATGTCATAGCTAGCCAGTGCTGGGACCTGTATTTAATAAGGTACATTTCTCTACTCTACTCTGACTGCCCAAATCCTATCCTACCTTCAAGGATAAGCTCACTTTCCACTGTTTGTTTGAATCCGCTAGCCTTTCTGCCCGGAGATCACCCAGCCAAAGACTTAATTTTCACAGGGACTGCCTCCACTACCTGTCACTCCCCACCTCCTGCTTTATTTTTAGAGGTAGCATTTCATGAATGAAATTATAAGCTGTTTGAGGGAGGGAATCAGAGACTATTTCTCCGGGTGAGAAATAGTCACCCAGAGTGACTATTTCTGGGTCGCTCAGTAATTAAGCGTCTGCCTTTGGCTCAGGTCAGGATCCCAGAGTCCTGGGATTGAGCCCCACATCAGGCTCTCTGCTCAGTGGGAAGTCTGCTTCTCCTTCTCCCACTCTCCCTGCTTGTGTCCCTCTCCCTGTCAAATAAATACATTAGAAAAAAAAATTGAAAAAAAAAAAGACTATTTCTAGGACATCTTTACACCTATTCCCTAATATCTAGCAAAGGCCTTAGACAGAACTAATAAAATACATCTCATATGATCCATGTCCCTGATGCGAATGAGTTGCTGAACTGTGTAACCTCGCATGGGCATTTGGGTAGCTCTAAACAGCCTTAATCATCAGGGGGCGCTGTGGCACCACAATTATGTCAAACTGAATCACAGAGAACTGAAACAACACAACTCAGTTGCCTGAAGGACCCCACATTTTATTTTTTTCATGAAAGAAGTGATACACTAATATACATACCACGTCCCTGAGCTTCTATGTCCCAGTTCTTCTATGTCCAGGTTCTGTCCTTTACCATCTTTTCTTCTTGGTCCTCACTTTATCTTAAGGCTAATTCAGCTTCAGGTACCACATCTCTCCTAAGCTCTAGACCCATATCTTTATGTTTTGTGCATCTCCACCTGGGTGGAGATGTCAAACTCAACTGTCCTAAATTGAGAGGCCAACTATCCCACACCCCCATCATCAGAAATTACTACGGTGGAATCTTCTCACTGATCAGGATATTTTGTTTACATACAGATAAGGCCCACTATGAAATGTTTGGTGTTTTGCAATGTCATCTGGCATACTGTTTTGTATTAACTTTGACACCTTTAAGACTATGTTGCTTGTAGGTCATCTCTAGCTTGTCAAGTCAGTGTAAAAGTTCACAATTGTTAAGTCTTTTGGAAGCCTCTCACCAAAAATCATTCCCACACCATTCCAAATAAATCCTAAACCACATGTCTGAAAATTCAAGTCTGTTTTCTACAATTCCCCAGATTAGTGATACCACCATCTATTCAATTACTTGAACTAAAAATCTCAGAATAATTTTACCTTTTTTTTCTCCCTCTCCATTAATGCCTCTAAATTATCCCTTCCTCTCTATCACCACTAAGCCAGTTAATGACTATCTTTCACTTGACCTAGGATTGCAGTAGCCTAACTGAATCCTTGCTTTCAATTTCTGCTGCTACTAATCCATCCTCTAGAAATATGCTGCTGCCATTTTTTAAAGACTTTATTATTTATTTAAGAGAGAGAGAGAGAGGAGGAGCAGAGAGGAGAGGGAGAAGTAGGGAGCCTGATGCATGCAGGACTCCATCCCAGGACTCTGGGATCATGACCTGAGCTGAAGGTGGACATTTAACCGACTGAGCCACCCAGACACCCCAATATGTTCCTTTAAAAAAAATTTTTTTTTAATTTATTTATTTGTCAGTGAGAGAGAGAGAGAGAAGGAGAAAAAGCACAAGCGGGGGAGGGGCAGGCAGAGGAAGAAGCAGCCTCCCCACTGAGCAAGGAGCCCAATGTGGGACTCAATTCCAAGACCCTGGGATCATGACCTGAGCCGAAGGCAGACACTTAACTGACTGAGCCACCCAGGCATCCCTAGAAATGTGCTTCTGAAACATAATTCTGTTCATGTAATTCAACTGATTATCCATGTTGCCCATTGATACAGTTATGGCCAAACTGGGTATCTTCAGGAGGATAAACATAAAACCTTTAACCTTTGCTCCTATCTTCTGCCAGTCCTTTCATAGCCTAGTCACTAATCATGTGAGACATCTAGCAGCTGACTGAAAAGAGCATGGGATTCCAGGCATCTGTGGCTTCCATATACTTTTCCTCACCCCAGAATTCCTTCCCATATTTTTCTTTCTCATAACCCTTTACTCACACTTTAAGATCTAGCTTAAATGTCTCTCTATAAAGGGTTCCTTTTCCGAGTATAAAAGGCAAAATTAATTGATCCTTTCTTCCTGTCCTCAGGGCTCTTTAGGAAAATCACATTAAATTCTAGTTTGTTTGGTTTTTTTTTTAGATTTTTTTTTTTTTTTTTTTTTTTGACAGATCACAAGTAGGCAGAGAGAGACAGGAGGAGGAGGCAGGCTCCCTGCTGAGCAGAGAGCCCGATGCGGGACTCGATCCCAGGACCCTGAGATCATGACCTGAGCTGAGGGCAGAGGCTTTAGCCACCCAGGCACCCAAATTCTAGTATTTTTGAATACTTATGTTCTCCCTATAGTCTTTGAACTCCTTGAGGACAGAAAACATGTTTTACTTATTTTGTATACCTAGAATATAGCACATGCATTAATTGAATGAATTCACCTGGAATGGAAATAATTTTTATTATTAATTTATATTTTTTAACCTGGTTAAAAAATATAAAGTGGTTTAAACTTAAACCACTTTAAACAGAGATAGAATTCTAATTAGCATATCTGTAGTTCTTTGCCTGTTTTTATTCTTTATTCTTCTCTTACCCATCTTCCCATTAAAGCAGACAATGCTTGCTCCCTCCCTGGAGCCCTTAGGAACCTTTTCATCGCCTCCTTCAAGGATATCAGAGTTGTGGTTTCACTGGTCATCTTCTTAAGGCAAAATGAAAGGAAACAAAACAAGGAAAACAAAAACCTAGTGGAGGTTTGAATCCAGGGTTTTCTGTTGTCTTCCACTCAGCAACAGGCAGCAGCAGGATGAGTATTTGATCTAAATTCTGTCTGAAAGGTCACTCAGTACAAGAAGCTTTTAATAGCTTGTATATCCAAATATAGTTTCAAAGAACTCATCATGTGAGCACAGGTGTCCTAGAACGCACTGTAATATTTGCTTTTGTAAAGTGAGCCATAGTACATCAACAAACAAGATGTAATCATGGCTCTGCGTGTATTCCAGTAAATGTATATATGGATATATACAAGGATTAAATTTGATGGAAATATTACTCTCAAATTTTAACAGCTTAATTATTCAACTATAATCTTAAATTAAGTTTAAAGACATCCCCTGACCTTATATGTAGTATTATATCAATGCTAAAAATCTAATCATCCTCAAAAAATAATAAATATTCATTGAGAGTTTCTAGTATTAGATTAAGTATTGAAAATAAAAACAGGAGTTCCTGGATGGCTTGGTTGGTTAAGGGTCTGCCTTCCATTCAGGTCATGATCTGGGAGTTCCAGAATGGAGCCCTGCATCAGGCTCCCTGCGCAGTGGGGAGTCTGCTTCTCCCTCTGCCCCTCACCCTGCTGGCATGCTCTTTCTCTCCCTCAAATAAATAAAATCCTTAAAAATAAATACATACGTACATACATACATATATATGTAGGTACATAAATACGTAACAAAATAAAAACCGACCTAAAACAGGACCCCTGAATTCAATGTGTTTAAACTCTAATTGGGAAAGCAGGACATACACTTAAAAAGAAAACGCATATAAAAGGTTGTGCACCAAATAGGTACAGACCATAAAAATCATAGATTAGAGTAAGTCACTGTAAGGACCTATTTAGCCAGAGCAGCTCCATCCTGACCCTGTTCTCCACTCCCCCCCCACCACGGGCTCAGGGAACTTACTTAAAAACAAGTCCCGGAAACTAGTCCCAGGTTAACAAAGCCCAAATACAAGGGTGGGTCAGGCCAGGTGGAGGTATCCAATCAGTGGGGGCGCATACTGTCTCCTAGCTACCAAGGAGTATGGGCCCCGCCCTTTGGGTGCCTTTTGGGTGCCCCTTCTGACCAAGGTGATAGGCTAGTTCAAATATCTACTATAGGGTAAATTGTAATTCAGTTGGTCACTTATGTGTGACCTAGCAGGACTGTGCAGCTTTCTCTGTGTTACAATCTCATTGGCCACCTGTGCGTGGCCAGGCCCAACCACATGGCCTTTTTGTAAGGCAGAGAGTGGTCGCCTCTTTGCAAGAGACGGCCCTGGCCGGTTGGTTTGATTCTCGATGTTTGGCACGAAATAAAGCTTTACTTGACCTTTGCTTTGTATCAGTCTTGCTCCTTTGACCATGGACCCAACGTCACTAAATCCTTGGATAATTGAGAAATGCTAACATTGAAGGTAGAAGTTGAGCTTAGCCTTAAAGGAAAAGTAGGTCTTTGATTATCGAGCTCCACATCGGGCTCTCCACTCAGCAAGGAGCCTGCTTCCTCCTCTCTCTCTGCCGGTCTCTCTTCTTAAAAAAAAAAAAAAAAAGAAAAAAGGTGAGGTTGGTGGGGTGAGGTCCGGAACCGAAAACCAAGAAAGAATTCTTGAGGGGCACCTGGGTGGCTCAGTGGGTTAAAGCCTCTGCCTTCGGCTCGGGTCGTGGTTCCAGGGTCCTGGGATCGAGCCGCATCTGGCTTTCTGCTCAGCAGGGAGCCTGCTTCCTCCTCTCTCTCTCTGCCTACCTGCAATCTCTGTCAAATAAATAAATAAAATCTTTAAAAAAAAAAAAGAACTCTTGAGACATCTTTGGTGCAAAGTGGTGGTTTATTAAGCACAGGGACAGGACCCATGGGTAGAAAGAGCTGCTGCCCTGGGGTTGTGAGGGGTGGCAGGTTCTATACTACTGGGTTCCAGTTGGTAAGGAAAAAGGGAGGTTTCAATAGAACTTTCATATGCTAAAGAGGACCTGCAAGATACCGGATGCCTTGAGGCCTTGTCATTGTCAAGGTTTTTTCTCTAGGAAGGTATTAACATTAAGATAGTTGGGAGACTCCTAAAGAATGTCACAATATGTCCCTACCAGGAATGGGAGTGGGGGAAGGTTTCAGGGTGTCTGCCTTTTGCTTTGTTCTCAGCCAGCCTTCTGTTCCCTCATCTTTGTGAGCAAAATCACAAAGGCAAAATAGATGATGTGGTCAGGAAACAATGGGTGGCTATGCTTTAAGCAAAAAATTCATGTGAGGGGGCACCTGGGTGGCTCAGTGGGTTAAAGCCTCTGCCTTCGGCTCAGGTCATGATCCTGGGGTCCTGGGATTGAGCCCCAAGGCGGGCTCTCTGCTCAGCGGGGAGCCTGCTTCCTCCTCTCTCTCTGCTTGTCTCTCTGCCTACTTGTGTTCTCTGTCAAATAAATAAAATCTTTTAAAAAAAAATTCATGTGAGGAAACAACATTTAATAAGATCTTAATAAAATCATTTATTTATTTGACAGAGAGAGAGAGAGAGCACAAGCAGGGGGAGAAGCAGAGGGAGAAGGAGAAGCAGAGAGCCTACCATGGGGCTCGATCCCAGGACCTCAGGATCCTGACCTGAGCTGAAGGCACTTGCTTAACTACTGAGCCACCCAGGTGCCCTCCAAAAAATAAAATCTTAAAACAAAAAAAAAAACCTCAACCACTTTTTACTATTTGAAGTGTATGGCTCTGTGGTGTTAAGCATGTTTATCCTGTGGCCCAGCCATCACCACCAGCCTTCTCCAGAGCATTTTCATCCTCCCCAGCTGAAACTCTATACCCATTAAATACCAGCTCCACATTCTCCCCCTCAGTCCCTGAAACCACCATTCTAGTTTTTGTCCCTATGAATTTAAATCCTCCAAGTCCTGAAATAAGTGGAATTGTATACTATTTGTCCTTTTGTGACTGGGAAGAAAGTTTTTCTGGTGAGAGAAAACATACACATAGTAGCAGTGGTCTCTCTTCATCCCTCATATTGTTGAATCTTCGTGTCATGCCTGGTACTACGGCAGTCACCTTTCATGACCATGAGGGGAACCAGCCGCAGAGAGCAAGCCAGGACAGCAGAGCAGACAGATGAAAAGAAACTAATATGACAGAAAGAAGTATGAAAGTTCCTTAAGAAATTAGAACTGGCAATCATATAAACCAGCAATCTCACTTCAGGGGATTTAAAAAATTGAAAGAGGATGTTGGAAGAGGTATCTGCACTCCGATGTTCCTTTCAGGATTACTCCCAATAGTCAAGATACGGAACAACCTAACTGTCCAGAAAGAAGGAAATCCTGCTGTTGTGTCAACGTGGATGGGCCTTGTGCTAAATAAAATAAGCCAGACAGAGAAAAACAAATATTGCAGAGTTAATCACTTATATATGAAATCTACACAAAAAGTCAAACTCAGAAACAGGAAGTAGAAAAGTGGTTGCCAGGGGTGGCTTGATGTGTTTTGGAATACAGATGAGGTTCGGTGGGGTGAGGTCCGGAACCAATGGCCAAGAAAGAATTCTCAAGACGTTTTTGGTGCAAAATGGTTTTATTAAAACATGGGAACAGAAACCCAAACCAGAAACCTCTCACCAAATTAACCTCTCCCAGAATAATTCCCTTGCTAGTGTGCTTATTTTAAGGCATAACTTTGCCTTATTAAGCCTTTCATAGTTGGGCTTCTGTCCTTTTGTTTTTTAAAGGTTTTATTTATTTGTCAGAGAGAGCAGAAGCAGGGGGAGCAGCAGGCAGAGAAGAAGCAGGCTCCCCACTGGGCAAGTAGCTCAATGCGGGATTCGGTCCTGCCATCATGACCAGAGCCCAAAGCAGGCATTTAACGGACTGAGCCACCCAGGCTCCGCTTGGGCTTCTGTTCTTTTTTTTTTTTTTTTTAAAGATTTTATTTATTTATTTGTCAGAAAGAGAGAGAGAGTGAGCACAGGCAGACAGAGTGGTAGAGGGAGAAGCAGGCTCCCTACAGAGCAAGGAGCCTGACACGGGACTCGATCCCAACTCTGGGATCATGACCTGAGCCGAAGGCAGCCGCTTAACCAACTGAGCCACCCAGGCATCCCTGGGCTTCTGTTCTTAAGGAGTTAAGAGTTCAGTGAAGGATACTGTAAGGGCCTGTTCAGCCAGAGCAGCCCCACCCCAGTTGAACTGCCATTATGCTGTAAAGCCTAAATTGACCTTGCCACCCCCCCACCCCGGCTAGGGGAACTTATTTAAAAGCAAGTCCGGGAAACCAGTCCTAGGTAACAAAGTCCAAATACAAGGGTGGGTCAGGCCAGGTGGAGGTATTCAATCAGTGGGGGCGCATACTGTCTCCTAGCTACCAGGGAGTATGGCCCCCCCGCCTTTGGGAGCCTTTTGGCGCCAATCCTAACCAAGGTGTGATAGGCTAAATCAAATGTCTACTAGGGTAAATTGTAATTCAATTGGTCACCTAGCATCTCTGTGGAGTTTCCTCTGTGTGTTACAATCTCATTGGCCACCTGTGCGTGGCCAGGCCCAATCACATGGCCTTTGCTCTATAAAAGTTAGTCTGGAAAGGAGGGAGGGGTCGTCCTTTCTGTAGGGGCGGCCCCGATCGGTCTGTTTGATGGTAGGTCTGATTCCTGATGCTTGGCGCTAAATAAAGCTTTCCTTGACCTTCGCTTTGTATCAGTCTCGCTCCTTTAATCATGGACCCATTATTGGGGTATCCAATTTTGGGGGGACCCAACAATACTTTGTATATCAGGTTCCTCTTTGCCGAGGTTTCTTCTGAAGCCCTTCATTCCTTTTCTTAGGGGTAGATCAGTGGCCAGAACCTTGACAAGGATATGAAACAGAAGGAAAGAGAGAATGGTGGAGACTCTGATTTTGCTGCAATCTCTCTCTTATGCTCAGAATAAGGCATTGTGGAACCCCACCCCCGGAAGAACGTTTGGAGAAGGCAAAGAGTAAAAAAAGTTGTGCTCTGGGGTCAGAGCCTACCAATTCCAGCCAGTGCTGTTTCCTCTCGGGTCCTGTCTGCCTATCCAGATCCAGTATTTTTCCCTTCTCCCCACTTTCACTG